AGACCCAGGTACTTAACCTTACCAGTCATCACGATCTCTCTGCCCCCAAGTGTGAGGTTCCTCAAGCCGGGTAGGGACCTGCACCTTGTGAACGGGACCACGGTTGTCTTTGAGGGGTTGATGTTTAGTCCCACCCCCCTGCACCACCCCTTTGCCAGATTTAGACCTCGTTGCACTAGGTCGCAGAGAGTATCCTCAAAGTTTCCTCTTGCTATTATCACAATATCGTCCGCGTACCCTTGGTAGCGGATCCCATTGTCAGTTAGCAATACTAATAGTTCGTCCACGACAAGGCTCCATAACAGGGGTGATAGCAAACCTCCCTGTGGACAGCCTCTCGCTTAAGAACTTTGAAAGTTCTGGTTTCAGGAAACTATTCTACTTAACAGCTCAGAAGTTAAGCCCTCACTACAGTCGGGTTTACATAAACGGAAGGAAACCGGATATGTTTCCGGCCAAGGACCGGCTTTAAAATATGTACCCGGAGTTTTCCCTGATTTTATTCAACTAACGCCTGTTATTTGGAGGATGTAACCCTATTTGGATCGGAAAAGAAAACATCAATATTCTAATCACTTCCAGGTTGTGTTGTTTTTGTAGTGCTTATCAAGTCCCCGCTTGAATGGTAAAGTTCAGATTGGTTGTCGTTGAAATTTGGTGTTATATAAGTATAGTTCGCTGGGTATGCAAGAGGCGGCAGAGACAACTCCGGTGATGGGAGGAAGGCGATGCCAGAATTTATGGTTCCACTATGAATGGTCTGATTAGCGTATTGTTCGACGTCGTTGACGTTATCAAGAAAAGAGCTCTTGATGTTCTTAGCAGTTGGCTCCGCTTCAAGCAGAGAACTGCAGAGATGCACACTTCAGCGATGTTTCTATCCTACAGCAACAATAACAGTAGTTGAGGAGGTATGTAAATAAATTGCTTTTGTTTGGATCAAAGTAGCGCTACTTACTTGGTGAGTATCACCAACTCCCTCCTTGCAGTTTTTTAAATGAATTTCAGATCTTTCCTTTCATTAAAAACACATGCAGTTTCGCCATAATTGTTTGTATGTATTTGAATTGTTAGTAATTGCATAAGAATTCGGTTTGTTGCGGCCGGAGAGTGCCAAATAAGTGGACATCTCAAATGGAGGCCTTTAGACACACATATAAATAGTCCTTAAAATTTGCCTTATTGTATTGCTACACATGTATTTATGTAAGTATGTTTTGTTTTATATTATATGTATAAATATATGAGTAGGTGAATGCATGTGTGGGTGAATATTCGAAATACACATACATGCATAACGCTATTATTGTTGTAATATTCAAATATTTTCTTTCTTCTGCGAACACATAAGTATGTATATACATATGTATGTAAGTATAAATTGATGTTTTTTATTAGGTAAATCGTAGTTTGTGGGTAGGTGGTTAGAAGTTGTCTTTTTTAATGCTAAAATCTAATATGTCTAAAATTACTTTTAATATATTTATTTATATATGTATATTTTTTTTTTAAATTTATGTTGCATGTGTATGCAGTTTTGTTGGTAATCTATCATTTAATATTTTCTGCTTATTTTTGAAATATGTATGTATGTATGCGCTTAATTAATTATTGCTAAGAAATTAAATAAATTTATAAAAAATTTCATAATTCATTACATATGTACATATGTATGTAGTATTTGTATACACACTTACATATGTTTGTTTTTAATAAATATTTGTAGATTTTTCGCTATTCGATTCCATTTGCTTGAATTACTTGCGCACCAAAATTTAATATTATATTTTTTAAATCGTTCTTTTATTTTTTTATAATTTGTTGCTTTTGTTTTGCCTCACGGCAAAATCTTATGTTACGCATTCCCTAAATAATCATGAAGCAACTTTTGGTTGCATTTCAACATTTTTCTTTTAGTGTAAAACTAGCTAATAGGGGCAGTAAAGTTTTATTTTTTAGGTTAGTTTTTCGTTTTTAAATTTGTATGCATTAATTACATTCTTTCTTCGCCCACAATCGGCTTAAAGATACTTACATTTAATTGTATAAATGCGTATGTGTGTGTGTATGTACATATAAAACGTGATTTTAATTATATAAGTATGTATATTAGGGTGTTCGTCGATTGCCAAGTTTTTTTTTTATTTGTTCTGTTTTTTTTTTGAAAATATCAACTAAAGGGTCAGCTCTTACTCACTTAGTTCACAAAGAAGCTAACGTAAAGAAAGGTGAGGTAAAGGTTCATCCAAAGAAATTTGCTACGACCGGAACAAATAATTGTCCGAAAAGAATAGCACATCCCATTCAAGCTGCAAAAGCGTTTGAGTAACGGTTATCTAATTGCSGTTAGAGTGGTAAGGTTTAGATAAGTTGCCATTGAGGTCATCAAACGTTAGGCCAGGAAACGTGTTGACTGCAGAGTTGATACCGTATATGAAAACAGCGTAGCAGAAACTGCTTGTTCATTCATTATTTGCTTAACTGGGAGCTTACGATCCTCACTGTGCAGATGTTCGATAGGAGACACCAGTAGGCATCCAGAAGTGCTCTGACATGTCTGGAGCATCCTCGTCTGCGTTTCACTGATATTCTTTACATAAAATATCTTAATAATTTTTCCCAGAAAACCATTCATTTAAAAGTTATAAAATTCATATCAATTGGGAAATAATGAACACCCTAATGTATGTATGTACGTGCTAATGAATGTGTGTGCATTAGTATGGTCGTGGCGGGCGAAGGTTTGTAAAAAAATATTTTATTATTACATAAAAAAGGTTATGGAAAATTGCAAAATTCCATAAACGCCTTAACGAGCCAATTACGGCATATACTCTAAAGAAAGTTCTAGCCACTACATTACTGCTACGCGCACAGTTTCCAACACAATCTCAAACATGCTTCAAAACCAACTCAATTTACACACACATATCTTGCCTTGTTTGACTAGAAATACTGCTTAGCTTGCCACTAACTTCCACGCGCGGCTCTACGACGCAGACTATAGTTTCATATAACCTCTTTCTTCAGCCGCTACTTACTCATATTTCTCCATATTCTACTTATCTCACCCACAAACTCTCAATTCCTACATTTTCGCTTAATAAGTCTGCACTTATTAGATTTACTCCCGCCGCTCGCATCACTTGAAGCGCAGACATCAAGCCGTTGACGGTGGTTTGCCAGCTGTAGCGCTGCCTGTGCCATTTACGCTTGCACCAGCCGCTGCTGCACCGTTACTACTTCCGCTTCCGGCTACCACAACGCCATTCACACGATTCTCTGCGCTGCTGCTGTCGCGCTCTCTTTCACGCTCCCTCTCCCTCTCGCGTTCGCGTAAACGTCGCAATGTGGACGTCGTCGTCGGCGCCGAAGTGCTGAGCGCATTCGTGCTACTGCTCATCAGACTGCCAATGCTGCCGCTCACTTCGGCTGCGCCCAGCATGCTGCGTCCACTAACTGCACGTCCCGGCACGATGAGATTGTTCGTCAGCGTCGAAGTGACGCCATTTATGGTCGTTGCTTGGTGATTATTGCTGCCGCCATTCACCGTTGCCGCGCTGCCGCCACTACCATTTCCAACTGYTACGGCTGCTGCTGCCGCCGCCGCAAATGTTTCGGCTATTGTCGACAAAGGTCATAAGTTCGTTGTCTGCACCAATCCGCGCTCGAGATGGAAGCACTCCAGCACCGCAGCGCCGACTGAGCTGCGACGTGCTACCATCGAATTGACTACGGTCCATTTGTTGAGGCGCGTGTCGTAACGTTCCACGGAATTGAGCGAGGATGAGCCGTCATTGCCGCCAAGAGCGTATAGTGCACCGTCCACCTCGACCACCTCGTGTGTTGACCTATGCAAGTAAAGTAGAAAAAATGAAGTTTTACATAAACTCTGACGCTTCGGCCGTTTGTGACCTACCTTCTGGAATGCATGGCGGCGATTGGTTCCCACGCGTTGCGCCGCAAATTGAAACGCTCTCCGCTCGACATGCACATCGTGCCATCATTGCCGCCAATGCAATACAAGTAGCCGTCGGAAGAGGCTACACCGCAGCTGCTGCGTCGCGCTGTCATGCTCTGCACGGGGAACCAACGTCCCGCACGCGGATCAAAACGCTCCACACTCGACTGATAGTTGGTAGAATCGAAGCCACCTAAAGAGTAAATGCAATTGTCCAACACCGCTAAACGACAGTAGCGTCTGCGCGTATTCATTGCAGGACATGAACTCCAAATGCCCGTCAACGGATCGTAACGTTCCATGCTGCTCAGGCATGATGCGCCATCGTAGCCACCGCAAACGTATAGCAGTCCATCGTAGGCGCAAATGCCGAGGCACGAGCGTTTCGTGCCCATCGGCGTGATATTGGTCCACTTATTAATCAGTGGATTGTAGTATTCGGCAGTGCTTAGATCGCTTACGCCATCATAACCGCCGACGACGTAGAGCTGTTTGTGCAACGCCGTCACACCCGAACGTGACCGGCGCCACAACATCGGTGCGATGGGCGTCCAAGCATTCGTGCGCGGATTATACACCTCGCACTCGTTGTGTATGGCGAAGAGACTGCCGCCACCCACGGCGAACACATATGGCTTCATGCCCTCCGGCCGACGCTCTTGTGTGCGTTGACTGCTCATCAAGCTGCGCTGTTCTGGCAGTAAATGGTATTTCATGGCTTCGAGCAAGAGCTCCTTGCATTGGCCGTCTTCGCGTATGAGCGCTTCCGTCTCGACGCAAGTCATAAGGAAGTCTCGTCCCACCAATGGCAAGCGTACGTGGCTCATCAATTCGGCTATATGGCATTGACGTTCGGCCAGATCGTGCTTGACCCAGTTCAGCACAGCAATGAATACTTTCTCTTCGGAGCAAATGTTCAGTTGATTGTTTGATATCAGATCTTTAACCTATGCGGGAGAAGAATAAACAAGCGAAAAGAGGAAGAAAGTAGAAATATATGAGATTTGGTTTGAGAGTTCTGGTGACTTTGTTTGGTAGTTATTTTTACCTCATCGAATGGCAAAAGTAAAAACTCTTCGGTGCCAACGACCTGCTGAAAGTTTTGTAGCGCATATTTATGCGATCGCGTGTGTAGTTCCTTGCAGGAATGAGCATCTGTAAGAATAATGTCGAAATTATATTGTGATTTACGTATAACTAAAGAAAAATGGATTAAAGAGGAGGCTTTAAAGCCTTTGAGTAAAAACTGAAAATTGAGAATAGTTTCAAGTTTGTTTGGAGCCAAGAGTGTGTAGACTACTTCACCAAAGTTGGTGCTCGATATTGAAAACTGAAGGGTATATGTTTGTCAAATGTTAAACTAGTTCCCATAACAAGTTCACTTAATTTCAATTAAGAAGCGAGAGGAATATTACTGTACGCCAAAGACGACAAGGTGATTTCTCCTCTCATCAAATAAATAGTCTAAGAATTATGCACCGATTACAGCGATTATCTTTTTTGAATATCATACTTATTTACATTAAAGAACATATTTGCTTCCAGCTAGGCCAGTCTCGGCGATTGCCTACTCTTCGTCGCAAAATTTCGTTCCAGTGATATTTTCTTCAGAGCTGAGAGCAGGAAGAATTAACACACTTTGCACAGAGACTTCCAAATGTTATTGAACAAACTATCCATGATGTATGTATTTTCTGAGCAAGCTATCTCGATGAACCGTATTTTACGCTCGTCCAAAATCATTTTGTGAAATATTTGAAGTTTTCTTAGGTCACATCTTTTTTGGACGTCTCTTGAGACCCTGTGATCATATGGAAATTATAAAGCCACTTACGAATGGGTTGCTTTGCATGATTTCCGGCGGATCCCAGATAACCAAGGACCGAATAATTTTCTATCTCAAATGTCTCATAAACAGCCTACCTTGTCGAAGCCAAGGCGCTTGCTGTGAGTGATGTTTTCTACTGACCGTTTTCTCATTCAGTATCTTCTCTCGTAAAGTGTGCGGAACAACAGCGAAGACAGGTTCCGGACCTAACGGACTGGTTGTCGCAGCTCTTTCGCTTCAGGTGATCGGATAGCTAATTTCTATTGCTACCCCTAGGGCCAGGGATCCATACTTATAGGATGACAACTCTGTTAACCACTTATGCACCGGTACCATTGTTGTTTTGATTTCAATGGACGAGATTGAAGTACCGCTTGACTAACACTGACAATGACAATTCGTTCCCTTGTTAGTTTTTCTCTAGAATAATCTCTGCACATCTGTGGCTATAGTCGGCCAAGAGATCTCATCTTTCTATCATATGAAAGATTGGGCGAATAAACAATTCTCCGAGCTTTGCACCTACAGTTGTAAGCCAAAGATGGAGCTGTAAATTACTACGGTTTTCGATGAAATCTTTAAAGTGACCATTGCGCTGTAAATGTTTAAACTTGATTTGGCTGTCAACTAAATACTTATCTTTCACTATAACCTAACCTAACTCAACATTTCAGTAAAAAGAAAAAACGTCGATGCTTCATACATAAAACAGTTCAACCACGTATTTTCATCTCTAAACAAGAAAAAGCAAAGTCATTTACTTATGCATGAACTCAACTTATAAAAACTGCCACCGCAAACACTTCGACCCATAAAAAGTTTAACTTACAAACCAAAAACTTCAACTTTGCATGATATCCACTACCTTTCATAGCTCCCACATACATATAAGAGGCAAGTAGTTTAACTCACCCGCAAAACTGCGTATGCCCAGGCAGTTGGATGGATGCAGCTGGCGCAGCAAGAACTTGCAGCACGCCTCGCGAACTGAATGAATTTGCAACAAGCTGGAGGCGGGCAAGAGCACCTGCACATTGTCTTCGGTTATGGTGATCTCACCAGTGTAGGTGTAATCGATGAGTTGACGCAGCGCCGTCACATCGACATCGTGTAAACGCACTGCGCCCTGGTTGCGTTCCAGCATATCATCTAGTGAGCGTAAGGGTAGAAAGAAAATTAAACATGCCATAAGTGTATAAGAAATGGTTTAATGAGAAAATAATGTTCGAATTTTAATTCGAGCTGTCTTCGATTCGCCACTTTGCAAACTCGCTGTGTTATCAATATATGAAAGCAGCTACGTTTTCAGTTGAATTCAATGGAACACAGTAAAGCGTGACCTCAATAAAGTGGTTTAACTGCTTACTACTGTAATTATTAGGTTATGACTTAAAAGAGTTGCACGTTCGATTCGACTCTTTTAATGTTTTGGCGAAACGAGAATAGCTAAAGTTTCACTATATTTAGAGACTCTTACCGTTGAACATGGCATAGAAATATGGTGAAACAGAGGCAAGTACCACTTTGTGAGCTTGTATAGTTTCGCCGCCCACTTCCAGAGAAACATCGCAAAGCTGAAAAGATAAAAAAAAAAAAATTATGTTAGCAAAACAAATCATGAAAAGCGGTTTCTTGAGGCATATCTACATTTATTCTAATCTTTCTACAGATTTTTGTGCCTCAGAAAGACAAAACTCAGAACGAAAAGTTAAATGCAGATTTAGTGTATTAAAATTTATATAGATATAAAATTATATAGCTAGTGTTTGGAAGCACTGTCCAATGTTATAATTATTATACTGAACAGACATTGTCTTGTTTAGCCTTTGGCCGGATAAAAACCGATCTATTTCACCTAATAAAGAACAACATTGCAATGAAGAAACGACAATCGCAATATCAGACGAAAATATTGAGCAGTTACTGAGCGATATGGCTTAGCTTAGTATATATAATTTGACGATGTGGTTAACTGTTTACGGAGATGTCGCCAATTCGCTTATTTATGAGATTTCTGCGGCAGCAAATATGTAAACCTGCACTCATGCTGACACCGACTTGTCTGCTCTTTTGCTCTAGAAAATATAAAAGGTTAAGAGCAATCACTTTGTTATCAAACTTTTGCGATTACTTTGCGTTCATAACAACAAAACTGATAACGAATGCAATGATTTCCAAAGAGAAATTACAAAAGTCAAGTTAGGCTCAGTATATTCTATATTAATATTGCGCAATTTATGTGAAATTCTCAAATCTTTGACCTAAGCTTTGGGGAAATTTGCGTTGCAGTAATAACACAGTTGTGTTAGAGGTTGATGCGCTTATGACTAATGTTAACGATTGATTGAGTTTCTCAGACATACCAGAGTCTAAACTTAAACCCATGGTTCAATGACTATGTTCGCAATCGGCCGTCTGTCGCCATTCATTGTCTCCTTTTAACTTGGAATAAAATATCAGCGGCTAATAAGACGAATTATTTGATGATTACATGATACCGATGAGAAGGTCTCAAAGCGCTACAGATAGTGGTTGTTGGTAAGCTGAATGGTTAATAATAACAATATCAAAATGGGTATTAGTTGTCATTAAATAGAAAGTTTTGTGGACAACTTCGGTAAAGATCCAATTGAAACATTTTCGTACTATTCGCAGTACCATCACCCATTTTGAGACACAACATTTATTATTAGATAACATTCGACCGCATGGACCACGTCCAGCACACTGAAAATAAAAATATACCAACCGTAGCTTAAAGGGTGCACGAAGACCGTGGATTGTGCGCAGCAACTCGGACTGACGTATGGAATGGCTTGGCGCATTTTACGTCGAGATCTTAAATTGAAGGCGTAGAAAATACTGCTTGTGCCAGAATTGAAGCCGCTCGACCATCCCAAGCGACGTTGCTATATAGGCTCTTGAAAAGTCAAACTTTGTTCAGCGATGAGGAATATTTCTGGCTCAATGGGTATGTAAATATGCAAAATACATCACATCATTTAATGGATTTATTGAGAGAACAGATGATTTCACGTTTTAGGTAGGTCAATTGTCCACTAAGATCGTGTGATATCACACCGTTAGAATTTTTGCTGTAAAGTCTAAAGTCTATGCGGAGAATGCCGCTTCGATTCAGGCCATGAAGCAAACGTGTGATGACACGTGTCATCCGCCACTTATCAGTCGAAATGCTCGACGAGACATTGAAAATGGGACACGACGGTTGGACAATCTGAGATATAGCCGAATGTTGGGAAAGAGATAATCTTAAAAAAATAAATTAAAAAACATGTTCTTTGGAATGATAATAAATTTTCTCTATTGAATTTGGAGTTTTTAGTTTTTGTGTTTTTCCTTTAAAAAAAGTAAAGACCCTCAAAATGGATCATCCTTTATATTGATGATCAATAGGCTAAGCTGCGTAGCCATCTCCGTCTGTCTGTCTATATATATATATATACGAATTTTTGCACCTGTACTTTCCTCCGAAAAAAGTTTCCAATTTGTCGGAACGATCAATATCTACTACCACGATATCATACAAACTGAACAATCGGATTCAAGTTCTTGTATGCTAAACTTTCTAATTTGACTAGATATCTTCACGAAATTTGGCATAGATCATTATTTATTATATCTTCGGTACCCGAAATTAACATTTTTTCTTTCAGTTTCGAGTGTGTTCACCGAGATATTTAGCCTTGAAGAGCTTTTCTTGTGTTTTCTGATAAAAATATACAGATTAGGTCTATCGATTTAGTTTTGAAAGTTGAAACTGAAAAAGGATGTGGAAATAGAAGACTATAAGAAGACACAGTTATCACTTCAAGCCTACCAAACCTAACCTCTTTTAATCTACCCTAATCTGGTTGGAAAATATATTACAAACAAGAAAATCAAGTTAAGAGAAATAAATAAGTGCACTCCACTCAAACCACAACTACAGCAATCACTTGCTTTGTTTTACTTAAAGCCTTCTTCCGAAATACTAGACTCGGTAATATTTTCCTGCCCTCCGGCTGCTTCTTAAGCCATTTTCGTACTCAACGCCACTGGCACTTAGATGTTATTGACACTGACTCGTTTGTCGCATTCAAATCTCTTGCGGCAGCCCAGACCAGACACACAGCGCACACAGAGAAACAAGAACAACAACATGTCAAGCAGTTAGTATAGCGCTGTAGTGCAGCAAGGCCGTCAAATGCTCCGTCACGTCGGGAGGATTCTCAAGTTGTCGTATTCGGATTGACATTCAATACGAAACTTCATGAGCCAGTGTGCCAGTGTGCACTCATGCATAAACACAGACAAGTAAGTGTTCTTCTATAAAGCATATGTTCTTCCATAGAGAAAAATATTTTTTTTAAATAATACAATTCTAGTCACCGTGCGCTCTGTGATGGCATGCAATGCGCGATACATGACACTTCACGCCAACCACACACACACACACACATATACATGCTTGGATGCACCTATTCCCTTTTCGCAATGACCTCCTCTTGCTGTCTTGTAAATCTTATGGGCTGAGTAAATCCACATGAGAAAATATTATCTTCTTATGCTTTTGGTTTGAGTGGACGCCGTTTGAAGTTGACGAAGTTTGTGGCAGCAATAACATTTGCTCGCAAATTACATCATTTACAACGGCGTTGCAAGCAATGCAATATTTTGGTGCACTAAATAAAGTAATGGATAAGTTAGGTTATGGTGCGTAGACATGAAATGAATTTTAAAAGGGTTCTCTAATAAAAGGAATACGCTCTTTGAGCATACCTGGACATTTCTGGAGCGTTCAAAAATGTCTCTACGGAATATTTTCTGAACAGTATCCTGCTATTCAACGCTGGTTCAGAAGTCTTTTGATCTATAGGCGGATAAGAGCAGAATTTAACGACACTAATATGGCAAAGGAAGTACATAGAGGTATTCCCCAAGGTAGAGTGCTAAGAAACTTGGAAGGCAAAGCCCCTAAAATAGTGGCATATCTGGACGACATTGCCATCTTAATAACGGGAAGGTGTCCACAGACCATTACCAATATTATGACCACCACTTTCAATACAGTCCAGAACCAGGTAGCGCAAGCGGGTCTGGGGTTTAACAAGGGTGGAAAAGGATCTGCTTGTGTTCACAAGAAAGCTCAAAACTCCTCTAGGGAGGTTCCCTTCTATAAATGGGACACATCTCTCTCTCTCTCTCTCAAGTACATTGGGGTAGTCTTGGACAGCAAACTATCGTGGACACACAACGTGGAAGAAAGAGCGAGAAAAGCCAGCAAACTTTTTTGTACGTGTAGGTAGATGCTCGGTACAACTGGTTGCTTTTTCTCTCTTTCATGCGCTGGTGTTACGTAGCTATTGTTAGACTAATTTTCCAATACGGTTAGTAAGAAGGACAGGCGTACGGAAATCCCTCATATCGGAAGTCAATGGAAAGAGTTCAGAGGCTCTTACAACTTTAGCTTTAATAACAACTCCTACGGCGGCTCTTGAACTGGTACTAAACCTGCCACCTATAGGCCTCTTCGCTGAAAACTCCGCATCGAAATCGGTGGGACGAGTAATAACTGCATGAAAATTTATGGTAATGGGTGTTGGAGGTCGACATAATATACAATACATAACCCCACTGTTCAATTGGGAAAGAATGTTAAATGTTAACTTAGGAAAAAATGACTGGCGTAAAGGTACTTATGTTAGCTACTCGTAACACCCTAAACATCTATATGGATGGCTTGAAAACGGGCGTTGGAGTTCGTGCGCATGCAACTTCCCTTCTACTGGGTGCCAAGCCACAAATTCATCGAGGGCAATGAAATAGTTGGCGTGATTGCCAACAATGGTGTCCTGGTAACATTCGAAAACCATCATTCAATAAACTAGACAATCATACATTAAGGAGAGCAGCCTCCTACCACATACCTATAATTGAAAGGTATAGCAATGAAAGCGTTTCCTACTTAGGTGACAAGAAGGAGCTTGTACGTTTATATTTCGGCCACAAATATCTTGTTTTTATATCCTGATCAGACACCCCGAAGTTTATAGCACCCACGTTGTACGTCGGCGAACCTATAAACTGTATATAGAACTGATCTTTGTGGCGTGCTGAATTCTTTTTAGCAATATCCGTCTGTCTATCGGTATATACTCGAAGCAGTCCCTCTGTTTTTGAGATATCGGTTTGAAAATTTTACTTTCCTTTTCTGCGGAAGAAATTACTCATTTATCGGAACCGCCGCTATCGGACCACTATAGCATGCAGATGCCATATAATCTGACCGATCAAAATGAAGACAAAGCTCTATTTATACCAGAGATAGTTAATGTTTGTTCTTACTCTAATCGTTCCAAAATATTATATTTAAACATACAATTTTCATGTAAATTAATTACAGAAATATTTTTTAAAGTTATGAATAAAGAGATAAAACGAAGAATTAGAAGAAGTTTTTACCCTTGACAGTCAAGAAGCGACAAGTGACAGAAAAAAGGCTGATTGTCATTGCTTCCAATAAATATTTTATGAGTTTTAATAACTTTAATCTTCACAAGTGCTTTGGGCAGTA